TTTTAGAACCACTCCCATCACAACACACCTCCCTGCTTACGTCGTACTCGGTCCCATACTGTGTTGCATGTGTAATCCAACCCAGCTCTTTAAACCTTTCTCCTTTGACCTTGTCATTACCAGTAGTTATGTGCCCTGAACCTCAGCCTCAGACATCACCCCAACTTGCAGAGTAGTCCCGGCTGTTTACTCCACCACTCCTGCTGTGCCTGTTACCCTCTCGTCTGTCCTTCCTTCCCCACACTGGAGTCCTTAGTCCAAAATAATACTTTCTTGTCCTCTCTCTTCTCCTCAACTTTATCCACTGGATCACACCCCTCATTCCATAACCTGAATATCACTTGAGAAAAATCATATAACCAAGGTTTAAATTTATGACCACATTTCAAGAGTATTACTATATATCAGTACCTCTCCTTAATTCTTTTTTAGGGGATGGCCTTACTTCACACTTCCTCATCTCTTCTCCCTAAAATGTCACATGTTATCTGCATCACCAGCATTTTTTGATTTCTCACATGTTCCAGTGACAGATTAGCTTCATTATTTCAAGACCATCTAATCCACCTGCTAGTGCTCTTAATCCTATTACCTTTGACTTCTCTCTACTGGTGTGTATAGCCCACATTTATTTAAAAAAAAAAAAAAGGACTGTAACATCAAGTTCCCCTCTAACTGCTGCCCTCCCTATGAAATTCTGTACTCACCTTTACACAGAACATATCAAAAGAATTTTCTCTATTTTCTAACTCACACACTTCTTATTTGTCCCTTACCTTGCCTCAGTCCAGCTTGTCTCTACAATTGCACTGAAACAGCTTTTATGAAAAATCACCGGTTATTTATTCCAAATCTAATCTCTATCTTCTTACTCAGCTCCTCAGTGCCATTTAACACTTAAAAACCCTTGGCTGGCACATGTATTCCACTCTTTCTCATCTCATTCCTGACTTCCCTTTTACTTCTTAACGTGGGGCTCATTCCTAGTCTGTCACTCTTCCTCAACCTCTTTCTCCGTAGGTAACTGCATCTGGTAGCATGTAATAACCATCCCTGTGTTGACGACTTTCAAATGTATAAACATTCTGACCTTTACTTTGGACATTAGAATGTCATATACACTGCTTTATTGACAGCTGTAGTAAACATCTCAATTCTCAAAAATCTCTTGATTTCTCTCCCTCAGCATTCTGTCTCACCACCAAAGAAAAAAAGTAAACCTGTCCTTCCATCTCAGTAAATGTTACTTTCATTCACCCAGATATTGAAGCCAAAACCTAGAAGTACTTCCTGATTGCTCCTTTTCCTTTGGCTGGTTAGTCGATCGACAAGTCCTGTAGATTTTACTGCCAAAATATGTTCTACATAAATATGCTTTCTGTCACTTCCACTATCACTGCCTTCAACAGTGTCAATATCATTTCTCACATAGACAATTGCAACAGCCTCCTCATTGCTGTCCAGCATTCACACTTGCCTTTTCACAACTTGTTCACAGAGCAGCCAGTATACTCTTGCTAAATCATAAATCACATCATGCCACTTCCTTATGTAAAATTCTACAGTAACAACACACGCTTAAATAACCAATGGGTCAAAGGAGAAATAACAAGGGAAACTAGAAAATACTTTGGGACAAATTAAAATGCAACACACTGAAATCAGTGCTCAGAGAAATGGATAGCTTCACATTAATATGCATTAAAAATGAAGATCTCTAAGTCAGGAACCTAACTTTATACTTTAAAGAACCAGAAAAATAAAGCAAATTATACCCAAAGCTGCCTGAAGGAAGGAAATAAACATTAGAGATTTAAAAAAAGGAACAGAAAACAGAGAAAATAATAAAACTAGAAGTTGGCTCTTTGAAAAGATCAAGAACATTGATAAACCATTAGTTAGACTAAGATCAAGAGAAGACTAAAATTTCTAAAATCAGAAATGAAAATTGGGAACATTATTACTGACGTTACAAAAATAGAAAGAATTATAAGAGAATTATATGAACAACTGTATGCCAACAAATTAGAGAACATATAGAATGGATGAGTTCCTAGAAATGCAAAGTATTGACACTGATTCAAGAAGAAACAGAAAATCTGAACAGACTTACAATTAAGTGAATGGATTTAATCAGTAATCATAAAGTTTCCCAACAAAGAGCTCCACCAAATGTTTAAAGAAGAATTAACACCAGTCTTCAAATGCTGCCAGGAAATAAGAGATGGGAATATTCCTAACTCATTCTGTGAGGCCAGCATTACCTTGCTATGAGATAAAGCCATCACAAGAAAATTACAGAACAATAGCACAATGACTATGCATGTAAAAGCCTCAAAATACTAGCAAACTGAACCAGAAGTATATTAAAAGGAATACACTTAATGAAGGAGTTGCAAGACCTCAACACTGAAAACTAGAAACCATTACTGAAAGAAATTAAAGACCCAAATAAGTTGAAAGACTCCCACGGTCATCCCACCAGATTCCAAGCCTTAATATTGTTAAAATGGCAGTACTTCCTGAAGCAATCTACAGATTTAATCCAATCCCTATCAAAATTCCAAGTCTTTTCTGCAGAAACAAACAAAAAAACGAATCGTAAAAATGGAAGGAACTTAACATAGCAATCTTGAGGAATAAAGTTGGAGGACTCACAGTTCCCAGTTTCATACTACACAGCTAAGTTAGAACAGTATGTTACCTACATAAGGATGGACACATAGACCAATGGAACAGAATTGAGAGTCTAGAAATAAACATATTCATCTACATGCAGCTGAATTTCATCAAGGGTGCCAGGACCATTTGGTGGGGAAATAATAGTCTTTCAACAAGTGGTTTTGGGACAACTGGGTAGCCACAAGCAAAACAATGAAGTTGGACACCCTTATCTTACACCATATATAAAAATTACCTTTAAATGGACCAAAACCTAAAACAGTTAAAACTGTAAAACCCTTAGGAAAAAACATAGGAGTAAGTCTTCATGACCTTGGTTTTGGCAGTGGATTCTTAGATATGACACCAAAAACATCAGCAACAGGAAAAAAAAAAAGGTAAATTGAACTTCATCAGAATTTAAAAAAACTTCTGTGCATCAAAGAATACTTAAATAAAAGTAAAAAAGAACATATTATGGCATGGGAGAAAATATTTGCAAATCATTTATCTGATTAGGGTCTAGTATCCAGAATATGCAGGTATTTCTTACAGCTCAACAACAAAACAACAAACAACCTGATTTAGAAAATGGGCGAAGGACATGGGTGGTAAACATTTCTCCAGAGAAGATACACAAATGGCTAACAAACTTATTAACATACATCAAGCACCATTAGTTATTAGGAAAATGGAAATCAAAGCTATAATGAGATCCCACTTAAACCCACTAGGATAGCTAGAATCAAAAAACAGAAAGTAAGTGTTGGCAGGGATGTAAAGGAATTGGAACCCTTGTGCATTTCTGGGGGAATGTAAAATAAGGCAGCCGCTGTGGAAAACAGTTTGGCGGTTCCTCAAAAAGTTAAAAAAGGAAATTACCATGTGACCCAGCAATTCTAATTTTAAGTGTATACTGAGAAGAACTGAAAACTGATGCTCTACAAATACTTTTGTAAAGAAATGTTCACAATAGCACTATTCACAATAGCCAAAAGGTGGAAACAGCCCAAATGGCTATCAAATAAACAAATGTGTAGTATATCTATGCAATGGAATATTTTTCAGCCATAAAAAGAAATTCATATTGATTAATGTTACAGTGTAGATGAATCTCAAAAACATGCTAAATGATAGAAAATGGACACAGAAGGTCAAATATTGGATGATTCAACTTACATTTACATGTAATATCCAGACTGTAGAAATCCATGGAGACAGAAAGCAGATTAGTGTTTGAGAAGGGGAGAATGGAGTAGCTACCTGCAGGGTAAGGGGTCTTCTTTGGGTGGGATGGAAATGTTCTGGAACTAGATAGAAGTGGTGGTTGTATGACTCTCTGAATGTGTTAGGTGCCACTGAACTGTACTAACATTGTTAATTCCATGTTATCTCCATTTCATCTGAATTAAAAACAACAACACAAAACCTCTCCAAAGGTTTCCTGTGCCCTTAAAAACCCAACCTTTACACCATGGCTTACCCGTATACCATGCGAGCTGACCTCGTCTTTGCCTCTTCACCCTTATTTCCTACTCCTCTCCTCTTCCAGTCTCCTTCAAGCATCATTCATTGACCAATCTCATTCCCACATTAGAGTCTTTGTTGATGTGATTCTGTCATCCTGGGAACTTGCTGGGCTTCAGGTCTCCATTTAAACAGAAAGCACTTCCCTCACAAACCTATTCACGTTAAGATCATTCTCCATCATGTAGCATTTTCTGGTGTCAGAAATTTATGTCTACCTTCCCTCCATAAACCTGCACTCCTGTAAATTCTATGGGAACAGGAACTTTGTCTGTCTTGTTCATCACTATTTCCAGAACCTAAAGAGAGTGTCTAGAAAAGTAGGCTTGCACAATGTGAATACATGAGTGAACAGGTGGAATATTTCTAGGTAGGAATTTGCAAAGTTCAGAGAGGGCCATGTGCCTCCTAAAACTCTCAGCTCCTCAAATCCTGTATTGTGTTGGCATTTCTATTAACTTGATAACAAAGTGTAAGTCAAACAGCCATTGGAGCATCCATTATATGACACACACTGTGCTTAGCTCTATATTCAGAGGTAAGAAACGAACCCTTTCCTTGTACTTACAAGTGAGATCTATGTGTTTTTAAAGCAGTCATGCAGAATTCTATGGATTTCCATTTTATTGGCACCTCTGAAGAACTGTGTAGGCAAATCAGATATACACAGGCTGCATGACCAAAGAAGATGTTATGTTTGTAATGGTTCGTGTTTTTAAAAAACATAACTGGGTCAAAAAAAAAAAAGCCCATGGAAATATTCTAAAACAATATCTAGAGGGAAACTGATTTTTTTTCAGGAATACAGATGTGTTGCATAAAACCTGTATGTTGTTTATGCTGTGACAGCAATAATTTTAAATAAAATGAAGTTGAAAGAGTAGGTCTCACATTAATGAAACATTTGCCTTTAGTATCAATAGGGACTTTGTAAGTTCTCTAACTCGATATGCATTCTATGCATGTCAAATAACTACTGTCAGTTGAGCTTATGAGTTTGAAATTTGGAACAGATTTGACGTTAAAACTTTAAAATTTAAGCTTACTTAGAAACAAAATTTAGTTGCTTGTTCTGTGTAATTCAACATTTTCTATTATATACTTATTTAAACTTTAAAAAAGTTTTTAGAGCGAGAGTAGGGAAACCGTCTTTGAAAGGGCAATACAGTAAATGTTTTAGGCTTTGTGGGCCAAATGGTAAATTTGAGGACATCATGTAGGTACTTGTATAAACACGTCAAATGTAACCATTTAAAAATGTAAGAACTGTTCTTAGACTGCAGACCATAAAAAAAGAAAAAGGCCAGATTTGGTTTGTGGGTTATAGTTTGCAAGACCCTTAGTTTAGAAGAAACATTTTGAAGATCAGACCTCTCTGCTATTACAAAACTTATTGCTCACTTTATCTTACTATTTAACAGAAACAGTGATTTAAATCAATTTTGCATTAGAAGTTAATGATTATGCCAACTAATATAGCTAACACTTCTTGATTTTCCTACTTTAAACAGAGTAAAATAATAATCATTGTAGCTAATGACTTCTATTTCTTACCTGGATCACAATTTAACAGCATGTTGGTGCAGGTTTACTCCAGTTCCTCAACCAAACGGAGCTGGATGGTGGTAACCCTTATTCCAGAAGAACACATGGGAAAGGACGTGGAAGAGAGAAAACATTTTGCAGCATTAGTGTAGCAGCCAGGCAGAAACTTAAATACTACACTCTATGGACATTACTGCAGAGGCTTAAATGCCACCAAATCCTGGTACCACAGATGCCCAGTAGATCCTTGAGTGGGAAGTAGACTGTGTGGCTTCCATCTGGCATTTAATTCCTTGCTAAACTGGTGGTCTCTGGTGCCAGATTTTGCCATCTCTGACCTCAGGGCCCACTGGGAAGCTCTCCAGCTGCTAGAGGTAGTTCTCCAGCTGTTCCATCACCACCTGCGAAGTTAGCCCAGTCACAGGTGTCCTACATGCATCCACCGTGATGTCTAGGCTCATTAACATATTGAAATTATAGTGCACAGCATGGAAGAGTCACAAATGCTATGAATAAATACCCAAAGCAGAATTCTGAGCAACAAACACATTCAACTTGGAATGTAAGAATTGGAGCGAGGGCTTAGGTCCTTCCTGAGCCTGTACTCTGGCCACACCTGCAGTCACCACTATAACCAAGGAATTCTCCGGGTAGAAGGCAGGGCGTGGACTGGGTGGTGTACGCTGGTCTTTCAGGGCATACACCTGTATTGTCCTAACAGTTTCAGCATGTGTATCTTTGAAAAGGGAAAACAAACTGCATTTAGAAAGTAGTGAGGCATACATAAAACAGCCTTCTTTCCTCTTTTAAACATCACCAGCATGTATACCACATCCAGGTTTCTCTACCACTGCTTGTTGTCAAGAAAACATGGTCTTTAGAATTCCCCTGTTCACAGTCTTTAAGGAGATTTACAGTTGAGATTAAAGATTTAAAAGTCTTTTTTATTACAGTGAATATAAAACACCGTTCTGCGTTCATAGAGCTATGGAACTGATAACTGGTCGCTTTTCCATTGTTCATCCTAGCATTGCTGAGACACGTTCCCAATGCCATCGTCATCAGTAAGCTCACAGAAAAAAACGCACAAATGTAACTTTAGTCATTCATTGTTTAAAGATATTTTCCTATATTTAGTTTAACTTTCAATATATTGAGTTGTTTATCAGCATTTTCTGAGATATTCTTTCATATGAAAAACAAAAAAATTCTGGAAAAGAACTGGGTAAATGGGTATTGGAATCATGTGTGACTAGTACTTTTAACAGTATAATTAGAATTTTGCTTTTCTGGAAATCAGTTTGCTATTGAAGGACTTTGGTTGTGTAACTAAAAGCTTGACTTTCAAATCTCCAATATATAATAGAATAAATGTAGACTTGTAGTTACCATGTATTTCCACAAGGTGGACCTCTTGATGTTAGGTGATTTTTTAATACATTGCAATTGTCCCAAAATTACATAATTTCAAAGCCCTTTTAACAGTTTTTAAAATGTATTTTTTTTCACAAAAATCATACAATGCACCAGTCCCCCTATCAGACTGGCCTAAAACTTGATGCTTCTAGATGTGATTTAATTTCTTCTCACAAAATTACCAGTTAATTTTTAAAATCTTTTAAACCCCTTAAAAATAATTTCTTGAATCACTTAATATTACTTTAATAGTTAATCATTTTATTTTGTTAAAATAAAAACAAATTACTTGTAAAGTCGTGCATAAAAACCTCATTAATGACTACTACTAGTCATGGAGAATTCTGATAATTCAGGTAATATATGTGACTGAGTAAGAACACAGAATTTTTTTCTAAGTCTTCAGGCTCTTAAGTATATAAACTTTATCTTCAAACTTACACAAAACATGTAAGTTTATGTACATATCATGTATGTCACCAGTACCATGTGATATATCAATTGTGTTTTAATTTTGTTCCTCCAACTAACTAGGATGAGAGGTATTTGAGATGCCATGTCATCTACTTATTTAGTGCAGGATTACATATACTTAGTAGGTGCAGTGTAAATATAAGTAATTGAGTGACAGTTTTAGTTAATCTCAATCTCTAGAATGCCTGCTAAGAACATGAAATATGGAAATATAATTTAGGGTAATAATTTATGATCAATAAAAATACACTGATAGAAGTTAGATACTACTGCAAAAAATTTGATTACAATGAAAATAGCTTCTGGTTTTACGGTCGAACCCTTGAGTCTGGACCAAACCAAACCATCCTTTAAGTATCTTGTACTTCATCTTAATTTTTAATTTTATTTGTCTATTAGTTATGGGACTTTACTTGGGCAAAAAACCCAGAACATTTGTCCCATCTACCAGGCTATCTCTTACTATAGGCACAGTTATTTTTTAAGTGCTGATCCTTTTTGCTTTGGGGGCCAGGATGGTTTCTAGAATAGAGGCACTTTTTTCCTTTCCTTGCTTCACAGTAAGTAGTTATATGGATATTTCTATATGAGGGAGATTGAAATCTTGTTTTCACATAGTTTGGGCTCCAACATTTTAAACTGATAAAATATGAAAGAGGGAGCTGCTAATGTGTGGCTTAAAATAGAAAATAAGTTTTGGGGGGGTTGACTGGCCACCAATAACAGTTTATGTATAAAATAGAGTACACATATATAAATACGTATTAAGTATACAATATAACACAGAGACATAAATGCTTATAAAATTAAGGGAGTGGCTTCGAGACAGAAAGGATTTAGATATCATCTTATCTCACAGACACAGAAATTGAGGCTCAGAGAAGTCAAGCGATTCATAGACAGTAGTTACACAGCAAGTAAGAGGTAGAGCTGGAGTTTTTCTACCGCACAGTGATTTCTTATAAAACACTCTAGTTCAACTAACAGTATGTTTGCTAGCATCTAGGACCAATCACAAGTCCCTAAGGACAAAGTGCTCAACAAGGGTTGAGCAGTTTCCCGGGGGCGCCTGACCCACTCCAGCCTTAAAGCGGCGGAACAGGAAGGTCACGGAGAGCAAGGAGGCAGCCCGTGCAGTGAGAAGTCACAGGGGACTTCCAGCTGCTCCAGGGCCACCTGGCAACCGTACTGGCGGAGGACAGTCACTGGATGCTGAGAATGTGCCAGGCACCTGAGCCACATTACCTCCTTTATCTCATTTACAGATTATAGCAGCAGTGAGACAGAGAGACCTTCCTGCAGAGGAAGTAAATACCTTGCTGAACGGTGCAGAGCTGGGATTTGGGCACAGGTTCTGTGAGATCCCAAGGTCGTGCTCCATCCACTGTGCTCCTTGCCTCGATGCACCCAGAGGGAAGGCGGGAAAAAGGGCTTATTTTAGCCAGCACACTTACTCAAAGGCCAAGTAAAAATATACTTCAGGGAACATTTATTTTTATTTAATTTACTTTCTCTCTTTTGTCAAGATTACTTTTTACCTTTATGCCGGGGTAAATTTCCTCTTTATAATCTCCACTCCATCTTGTAACAGAGTTTTTAATAATGTCTGCAAATGTTAACTGAAAAATAGTCTTAAGGAGGGCATAATTTTCATCTTGGTAGAATTTTTCAACAAGTTGTTACTTATTTCCAGGTTCATTACTCAATGATACATAAATTAACTTGAAAAGGATAATTTGATTTTCCAAGTAACCACATATACTAACAGAATTTACAAAACACACAAAAAGTTTGAATTCTCTTTGATGTGTTTGGCTTCTGATGGCTCAAAAGTAATAAAATTTGACTTGTTTCAGAGATCCCTATTCTTAAAAAAAAAAAAACTCACCCTCAACCCCAAGAAATGTAACGCCCAGGTGAATTTCCTGCAATAAGTAGTCATTTAATTAAAGAACAAAATTAACAGGAATCAAAATGCTGCAGCTGTATTTTTTGTTAGACATTATATATAAAAAAGAAAAAGTATAGTACAGTAAATCATTTTGTAGAACATGAACTTAAAGAGTTCTCAGATTAATCGTGTTCAGAATAAAAATGCCTTTTCCACATGGTACTGATACACTGCGTCACACGTCCCTCGGCCAGAGCCCAGGCTGGTGACCCTGCGACGCACATCACCGTTCTCCGTCACAACGCAGAGCTGGAAAACAAGGGGGGAGGCAGACAGCAGTTTTCTTCTGGTAGATTCCTTGGGGTCTTACTGACCCCAAAGTCACACTCCTCAGACACCAAAGAGTGAAGTGTGTCCTCTGGGTCCTCCTCTTACAGGTGAGTGTGGCCAGGATTTCCCCTGCCTACATGACCCTGCTCCTCTCACAAACATAGCAGGTAGTCGTGAGCTGAACTTCAGGAAAGTTCCCTGATGAATGTTCAGTGTTGGTATCAAAAATTAAACACAATTCTTCTCAGAAGAAAATCTCTATGGCCTGTGGAATCTAGAAATTATAAAAGGACAAATAATTTAAGGTTATACTTCTAAGCAAAAATTGCCAAAACCTTCCACAACATAATTCTGTTGCTGTCACAAGCTTATCAGAAGTCCCGTATGTGAGGATGGGCTTGCTGTGGTTAAAGTCACACAGAGTTTTAAAGGGCTCCCACCTCTCGGGCCTCTGTCATACCCCAAGAGGAATTAGATGCTGATTCTTAAGACTGCCTAAAACTTAGTGTGAAAGCTGCTAGGTAAGCCCCTGAAGTACACGTGAAGACCAGGCTTTGCTAAATCAGCAGCAGTGATGAGTTGATTAATACTGGAAATCAGAGTTAAGCTTCATTCTTACGGAGTTGGTAATGTGTGGTAATGCGTAATACACTTAAGAAAATCTCAAATGACTAAAAATACTGTTCTTCTAAAAGTTGACATTAAGTGCTAAAATACAGTGGCATAAAAAATCTTAAAATTATTTCCTGATGTCTGAGTTTCAGACTCACTCTTAAAATTTTGTCATCTAAGAAAGCTATCAAGGACTTATGAGAGAAAATACATATTTTTAACACACATCTCTTTCAATAAAGTATAATGAAAAGAGGTATTAAATATTCTGGCAAAACCATATACAGAATATGCAGTAATTATATCCTTTTTTTTTAACACAGAGTAAACATTAAAAATAACTCTGAATGTTTTAGGGGGAATGTTCATTTCCTAAATGCTCTAAAATACGATGATCTATTCCCAAAAATATGCCAGTCATGGGGGGAAACTTTAAACATTTTAAAACAACTTATATTTGCATCATTTTTTCCTGCCCTTCTGACCTCCTCTTCCTCTCGATATATTCAAAGTAAAACCGCCTTGTACAATGGAATTCTTTGTATCTGGTTTCTGTTCTACAGCCGCCTTGGCCTTACAGGGTAAATCTTTTCAATAACAATTGCAGTGGCCACTTTGTGACAAACAGAAAAGGAAAGGAATCCATTTTTTAGTTTAATGCAGTATCTCCATTCAGGATTTCCTTCCTCCTAGTATTTGGGTCCTGAGCATCTTTGGACCAAGGGTGAAATGACAAAGCAGCTGCTGCGGTGGCAGCTGGTGGCACCATGGTCATCCCCTCTAGCACTAAAGGTACGTGAGAACTTCAAGGCCTTACGACTTGTCAGGACCACAGGAAAAACGGGGAAATGATGGAGGAGTGTGCAGCCAGAGAGCCCAGAGAGGAAGTCTCTGCTCACTTCATCACGAGCAAGACATCTCGTGTCATCTTTAAGACCACGTGCACAGAGGATGTATCCCTCTTGTGTGCAAAGCCTTGATTACGGAAGAACCAGCCAGTCTATCCCCACTGGAGTACACGCTCCGTGGAAGTGGGAGCCTCCTTCACCTTAGTCACGGTTGCATCTCAGCACCATTAGCGGCACAGAGTAAAAACTTTTATTTGCTGAGGGAAAAAAAAAACAACACTCGGTGGAAGAACTTTTGGAGAGCATTAGTTTGTGTTAAAGATGTGAATACAAATTCAAATAGGACAGAAAAGCAAAGGGGATGGTGGACAGAGAACTTCACAGCATCCCCTAAGTACAACTGAATCAGGGAGTTCTAGAAACTAGGGAGTTCTGAACATTAGAGAAGGGGGATTAAATATATAGGCAATTACTGTCAGTCCTTTGAGACTAATTTTCTTAAATATACATTAACTACTTAAATAAACCAATGACCTGTGTAATACTGCTTTCCACACACCTTTCACCAAGCTCTCATGAGTGTGACCAGCACTTTTAATGGAGGTGCATTGTTTGTTCAATACAGTTCTCTGCAGAAGCACTGAATCTTTTTTTTACCTGAACATCTAGCTCTTTGTGGCATTTTTATTTTCTTTTAAAATAAATACCATGCTGTAAGTATCATGAGGTTCGTACAAACAGAAGCCTGACCTTGTCAAATGCTTGCTTGATGCATGCACCTCCATTTCGTTACTTTTGTATTCATTCAGTTCTTTACGAATTGCTGCCTGGAATTTAAAAACAGCGTGTTATTTTTCAAGAACTTAAAAAGTTACCAGAGGAAATCAGTCTCACGCTTATGGATTGACAACCTTTCCTGATGCTTGCTGATTTCTGCTACTCTGTGATAGATTTAAAAAACAAAACAAAAGAAAACCCTACTTCTTGTTCAGCATTTAGATTTTTACTTACTCATCTTCACAGTCCTACAAACTAGTCCACAGCCGGTCGTCGGGAAGCGCTCAGCGGGCGTACTTGCTGCTCCGCAGCAGGAAGACCGCGGCCCTCCCGTCCCACCAGAATGGGTGAGAGATGGGCCACACGGGCTTAGGGCGCAGGCAGAGTGCAAACGTCAAATAATGAGCCAAGGTCAGTTTTGGGTGAACTTACTTGGAACTCTACAATTAGAAAATCTAGAAGGAAGTCATTCCAACTTCCTAAGTTTATGTTTTGTGTCATGTGAAAACACAGTCATTCCACGTGGGTCAGGTGCACACCTCAGTTTTTTGCACCGCCCTCCCCCCAGCCCTCCTCCAGCTCCCCAGTGCCCGTGCACTCGAGTACCAGGGGGAGACAAAAACAACAGACACAGCCTCCGGGGCAAGGGAAGGCCGAGTCAAGGCTCCCAGACTCAAAGGGCTCCGCTCAAAGACGCCCGGCTTCCCCTCCAGGACCATGCTCCTCGGCGCACTCGGGCCACGGAGACCCAAGAGCCTCAGTCCACCTACAGCCTGGCTGCGTTTCTCCCAGTTGATGCCACGCGTGTGTGCGTTTATGTACAACCTCACACACACACACTCAGCACACGAAGAATGAGGAACAACGAGCAAATTCTGCACACTCACTGGCTGTGTGTATGACTTCCCTCTTCCTGAAGGCTTTAAGAGTTCTGAAAACCCCTGGCAGCAGGAAGGCAGGAAGGCAGGAGGGCCTCTTCACACAGATGCTCCTGGGCTTAAGTGCTGCCCATCAGCAGCCTCTGACCCCGGACCAGACTTCCCTCTCCTAGTCCTCCCTCATCAGTTCAACGGCACCTCTCCCACAGGGACTTTTTGAGGACTAGATGAAGCGACACCTGGCAGGCTGGGTTTGGTTCAGGGCAGCATCAGGGCTGGGTGAAGGTCAACTCCCTTTGCTCTTCCCCCTGCCTCTGACCCACTGCCTCCTTGCTTTCTCCTGCCTCTCAGACCATCCGGTGCAGATGCTCAGAGACCCCTCCAACTGAAACCAGCCCAGGACAGAGTCCAGAGCCACCTGTCTACACTGTGGCAGGTTTCCTGAAGGCCCCTGGCATCTCCTCCCTCCCTCGTCCCCACTGTGGCTCCTTTTGTTTAAACCTGTGTCACCGAGTCTCTTTTTTGACAGCTCTGCCTACTTTGACTCACACCCTAGGCTAGAGTTTCTCAATTTCAACTTCTTTTTGGGGAGGGTGGGAGATGTATTATGTACATATTTATCTTAATGGAAGTTCTGAGGATTGAACCCAGGACCTCATGCATGCCAAACACGCGCTCTACCACTGAGCTATACCCTTGCCCCCTCAATTTCACATTCTTGACATTTGGGGCTGGATAACCCTCTGTTGGGGGCTGTCCTGTGCACGATAGGGCGATTAGCAGCATCCTTGGGCTCCACTCACCCCAACTTGGTGACAACCAAAAATGTCCCCAGACACGGCCAAATGTCCCTAAGGGCAAATGTGTCCCCTGGTTGAAAACACAACCCTAAACCCGGATTATATTTGTGAAACCAACATCTGGTCAATGCACAGCCTTAATTTCAACAGCTGGCGGCACCCCGTGTCTAGGCAGCCACTCCCTGGCATGACGGGGTCTGCCCTTACTGTATACGTGTAACACACACATCCCCGCCCCGCTCAGACAGGGCCGCTCTGTACCTTATCCGCCGCCGACAGTCTCGTCCAGGGTTTGTCTGCCCGTCTGTCATAGTCCTGGGCTTTGGCCACCTCCACATAATCACTGAATCGTATCAGAATTTTTCTGTCTCTCAGTTCATCAACTGTGGGTCTCTGATTAAGCTAAAATAAAAGATCACCATAGTTAGGCACCCTGTGCCAAGCTAGCTTTCTTAAAGTGCTCTGAACAGACACCACACTTCTATAAATAGAATACTCTGAAACTGTGAAATACAACCCTAAGGTAAGGGGAAAAGCTTAAATTTTACATTCAGATTGCAACCCCTCCCCTTTACACGTCACCAGGAGGACCCACAGCTGCAGGAGCCTCGCAGTGCCCGCTTCGCAGCCCAGCTCAAGGAAAGGTTGAAGAATTAATCTAGAAAAACATTTTACAGCAGCAGCTGCTTCCTTTCCACTATACGCTGTAAGTGCAAAAACACCTTCTCAGTGTCTTACAAAAGAGTTACTGAGACAGTTAAAACGCTAAACACTGCTAGCGCTCACAAGGCACGTCCAGGAAGGATATTCTACTAACTCTGAGCAGGACAAGACAGTGTGAGTGTGAGTATTACTAAACCCAGTAAAGAAAGGGCAACACCAGAAGATCTGAATTTAGAGATGGTCAGGGCTCTAGAAGGCGATGAAAGTACACAGAGGCTACCTATATTGGCCACAGAATGTTTAGACTTAACTCTGAGCCCCAGATACAAACTCTTGAGGCTAATCAAGTTTTCTGCAGTCCGGAACTTCCAGACAAATTGAAGGTAACCAGAGCCTGACAGGTGAAGAAAACGCCGATACCCAAACGTGCTTTGCTTAGGCACTGCGTAAAGCGCTCAAGCAAATAGAGAATATGCCCGGCCTCCATCTGACTTCCTGGAAACAAGTGGAAATGTCATCTGGGCCACGTGGCCACGCCAGGCGTCCTGGTGGTGCTGGGTGAGGACACCGTCCACAAGCGTGTCACTCACACCCTGGGATGTGGTAAAAGGGACCACTGAGTGCCTGGTGAGGGCATTCACTGTCACCCAAGAAGTCCCTGCTCACCACCACGGAGGGGTCCCTGCACCCCCCGTCCCAACTGCTGCAGAAGCAAGCTTCCCTCTAGCCCCTGCCCCCTCGCTACTCAGGAAACAGGCGCCTCCATGGCAGTACCTTTCTCGTCAGTCTTTGCTTGATTTCTCTTCTTTCTTCCTGTTCTGTCTGATCATTTCTTTCTGTGAAAGAGTAAAAAAAAAGAAAAGATAAGAAAGCAGCAAGTTGAGACTTTCTTCTCCTTAGCAGGGAAGTGTCCTCAAGAACTGCACGTTTCTGGAAGCTGAGGATGGACCACGAGGGACACCTCGTACACGACACGTCGCTCTGTACCATGGTTTGTTTTCCTCCACTTTGCCCATCACCGCTCAGGAGACGACGGTCTCACTGTTACCCAGAAACACTGGGATAAGGGAAGTTCTGCCATCGTCCCAGCCTGGGTCTGCCTGGCCCTGTTCTGTGTCAGAAGCAACCCCAGAGATGGGCGCTCTGTCTTCCTTTGCAGGAGAAACAGGAGACAGCTCGCTCGCTCTCCCCTCTAATCAAACATCACACCTTTTACACCTAGGAACACAGATGGCAACCAAAAACAGTTTAGCAGGATAAATTCAAATATCTGATATGTTCATAAATATATATATGAGTGAATGAGCATTAATAGAACCGTTGCTGCTCCCCTCGCCCTCTCCGTGTAACCGGCACACACACTTGCAGCCAAGCAACGTAAGGTAAGGAAAACCCTCTTCAGAGGCTGGGCAACATATGCTTGCCTGGAATCCGTATTTTCAGGATCTATTTCAAATCCAGATGTACTCAGGAAGCCAGCTGACTGTTGCAGAAGCGAGGCACCCGCCATGCCTTTTAAAGAACCCCGAGCCTTTCACCAAAATTGGCTTTGCCTGGGGAGTGTGACTATTAGCATCCAGTTGGGAGCTAAAAACGGAGCAGAATGCTGCAACGTAGGGTAAAGCGCATGCTCACCCCGCGGATACGGGCTAATGGGTGTCCTATTTCTGGCACTCTCTGTTGCTAAAAAAAGGCTCAGGTTCCTGGGGGGGACCCAGAATTCCACTCCGAGGAAAGGGACCTGTCAGCCATCCGAGACACAGCGCCAGGTTTGAGAAAGGGAAGCCCTGACACCTGCAGTTAACGTAAGTTCATATTACCTGCCTTTATTTAAAGCATTTCAAACACTCCCGCATTTGGGGGATTTGGTACACAGGTGTTTAACAGACCAGCCATTGCACTTTTCAGTGATTTTCCTAAAAAGGCAGGATGCATCTTGCATTTGGGTGTTGCAGAAAAGGATACGAAACCCTCTTATGTTCTTGGTTCTTAATCCAAATGAAAAACCAAAAGAAACCACAGTTACAAGTTCTACTGCGAAAGATGATGATACAATTAGAAAAAATTGTGCAAGTGCCACATGGAAAGCCAACCCTGAGGGACTGAAATGATGATATGAAACTAATTCTTCAGATTTCTTAATACAGGCCACGAACAAATCCCAAATGTAGCCTCCATGCCAAAACAATGAAACAAAATCAGATTTAAAAAAAAAAAGCCTGGCGGGGTCCTTCTCTGGGGCAGGTGCCTGGTGGGACACCAGCTCCAAAAGCAGTCCTTCCTAAAAGCCCAGCACAGATGCCCTCCGAGTCCCACTTAGTGATGGGGTGTGGATCTCGTACTCACAGACCCGGAAGACCCTGTGCCTTCCACAAAACGAGGGGGCCATGATCAAAGCCCCCAAACCCACATCTTCCTGGAAACGATCAGAGACGCACTACTGCCACAAAGGCAGCGGTGGGAATGCAGATGGTGGAGCCAGGCCACCTAGACGTAACCTGAGCTCCATCCCTTTGCTGAGACTTATGGTAAAAGGTCCCATCCCCTCCCAGGGTCTGAGCCTCTCCCAAGGGAAATGGGGACCACTTTGCAACCCTCACGACTGTGTTGCAATGATTAAGTGAAGGAACACAAGCCAGGACTGAGTACAATGCCCGGCACAGAGTGGGCCCAATGCAGAAACTCATCTTTGATGTCATCATGTATAGAGGGGCCACCATGTCTCCTGCTCTTGTCTCCAAGAATACACAGGCCCAGTTCTGAATGTTCTCCTGACATGATCGCAATTACTCATGAGCTCCCCATTTGAAGGGAAGCAAATACAATGTGATGATGTTCTAACAATTGATAAAAAGCAGAAAACGCAACAGAGTGGGAGCCTGTGTCGAGGGCCAGGGAGGATGTCGGTTTACCCTGGACCACATATAAGGAGCCCTATTATCATCGCCCCAGAACAAAACCAAACAAACGCCCACCAGAAACCAGCAGTGAAACTCGCAAGCACTCCTGCCCAGGGCATTTGAGAAGCTTCCGACTAAGGATGCACCGGACCTTCGGGAGGGAGGAGGGACAGTCAGGGCCGCAGGGAAGGAACACTGTCTCCCTGCCCCTCCTGTGCCGCTAAAGGGGGGTGGAGCCAGTCCCAGGGACCCATCTGCCTTCTCTACTCACCAAGCACCAGCTCTGTTATTAAGGTGTCTACACCTCTGTGTGCAAAGGTGAATACAATTCTAACCACTGGCTGGTGGGAGGACCTGGCCGTCCACAAGAGCTGGGAGGAGGTCGCCACTGATGGGGGAAACAGTACCCAGGAGAAAAGCCACCTCCTGCAGACCACCCTGGGTGCAGACCAGTCCGAAGGCAGCACTGGCCGCGACCTTGAACTGGCTCCACTCAAGTCTTGGAAGACTCTCCTCAGGTAGTGACTTCTACACTTTGTAAGTAAGTGACAATTTTTTTTAATTCAGCTATTTGGTAACAGCTTGACTTTCCTATCCACCCACTTACAGAGCATGTGCCAATGAAAAGCTTTTCCTCGAGTCCTCAGAGGCAGTCTCATTCACATGAGATGGGAGAGTAGTCACCATGTCTTAAGTTTCAAAAACAAAACAAAGAATTCTTGATCTTAGGGTTTAAATATTTCCAGCAGTCCATAAAGGAGGGAGATTCCTAGGCAGTTAATGGAGGTACCGAGTCAAAGAAAGGGGAGAGGAATTAGAACTCAGCACCGGCCCAGACAGTCTTCCATCGACTCTCTGACAGAAGGTCAACCTCACCGCCACCCTGACTTTGTAAAAAGATGTTCACGGAATAAAAAAGGAAACTCCACGAATGTCTAAAGTGTTCATCCATAAAGAGTGGAAAAAGGTGAAAACATTTTCAAATCCCAGGCCCCTGAGAAGACACTTTTTGTAGAAAATGTCTTGCAAACTCAAGTCTATTGACATAAGAACTAACTGAAAAACACTTTTGAAAGAGTTTTACCACCCAAATCATCACTGACTTGCCTAAGATGGAAGGGTGTTCTCTGCACCATAGAGGCCTCTGGTGGACCCCAGAGTTCAGATCTAACTGGGGAGACCCCAGGGCTGTGGAGCCGGAAGGGAAGGTCCTGGAACCTCGGAGTTCGGGGGCTCCTCTGTTCCTTTGACCTGTTCCCTTCATTCCCCAGAGTAACCACCAAGGGGCAGGTCCTTCCCTGGTAGGATTTACACACTGTCCACACCTGCCTGATGTCTGTGGCCATCACGGAGCCGCGGTCCAAAACTGCCAGGGAAACCTACCTGCTTGGAATCCAGTCTGCAGAGGGATATAGATTCCCTTCCCTTAGATCTACAGGCTGATGGCTCGGATAACCCTGAGCTAGGGACATCTTTAACCACGCTAGGAGAGCTTTTCCCCCCTAAATTTTAAACTGGATGCTCCTGGGCGTTTCAGCTTTCCCTAGGGCTTGCTTTCCGAGTTCCTCAGCGACTCAGACCTCAGGTGAGCCCACGAGGGCTCAGCCGGCTGGGCGGGGCCGGGCGGGCGAGCGCTGAGCCAGACACTCAGCCCGGCAGGTTCCTGCGGCAGCCTTAGCCCTAGAGGGATCACCCGCTACTCACGTTTCAAGATGTTTCTCCTCTCCAGCTCCTCCACGGCAGGTCTCTGGCTCAGCCGTCTGCGGAAAAACACTAGAATTACATTCTGCACCATGGTGGCTGCCGGCGAATTCCACCCAGGCTCGGCGAGGGTCAGAGGTGGCTGGTGCACCCCACTGAAGATCGCCTCCCCAAAAACGGGAGGAGAGGAAGGGGACCTCCTCCGGCGGCTGCCTCTTGCTGGTAAATCGAGTCAGACCTCCGCGCGGGAGGGAGGTGGCCCTCTGTCACCGGGCGGCAGGGGCAGCCCGCGCTCCCGCTCTGCACCGACAGTTCATGTCCGGCTCTGCTGCCAGCCCGGCCCGGCCGGCCGGCTCCCCGGGCACCGTGTGTCAGCAGCACGGAGGTCC